CGAATGGTCATAAACTACTGCAAGACCATTTCAGGCTGGACATAAGGAAGAATTTCTTTACTGTCCGAGCTCCCAAGGTCTGGAATAGCCTGCCATCAGAGGTGGTTCAAGCACCTACACTGAACACCTTCAAGAACAAATTGGATGCTTATCTTGCTGGAATCCTATGACCCCAGCTGACTTCCTGCCCTTTGGGCAGGGGGCTGGACTTGATCTTCCGAGGTCCCTTCCAGCCCTAACGTCGATGAAAGTCTACGAAGCACCACCTTTTTTATTCTAAACCTAGTTTCCATTGTCTCCATCAATATAAATTTCCTATATTAAAAAAAGAGTGACGTTTGTGTTCATTATTTATACACCCTAGTTTTGTTCTTTAGCCATATCAAACCGAATGGCTGTCCTTCGAACATCAAAAATTCAGCTAAAACATATATACCTCAAGTGCTGCCACAGCCACACGGCAAGCTAATGGATTTCCTCCATAAGTAGAGCCATGTTCACCAGGCTTAATAGACAGCATAACTTCATCGTCACATAGTACTGCTGATACCTAAAAATAAAAATGTTTGGTTAAGCCTTATTTAGACCAAGCTGTCTTAGTACCTAGAAAACGGTGATTTTCATTCTTAATAGATTTTGTTACAAGCATACCTGCTACCAATTCTATAGAGTGAGAGTCTATTTGGCAGTCACATAACACAGTATTACCCTCTAATATTTTGTAAAAACACTTAACTGCACAGGTACGATATAATGTCTCAGCAGATTTGAAAGACATTTTTCAGAATTAGTATTACTTCAAGATTATAATATTCAGTGTTTCACTTAACAGCTCAGAAAGAGCTTCAGTCAGCTGAAATACTTCATTACTGGTTCTAACTTCTGGCCTATTAAGCAAGAATTTTATCATTTGACAGCCATTTAAGCCAATTTACATAGGCACTCTGAACAGCTGAAATAAGATGCAGTCTAATGGTAGTTGTTTCAAAGTTTATCTAGCAAGACAGCAATGAAGTAAAACATACCATGCCCAGAGTTGAGCCCATTTACTAGAATATAATTCAACCAGATAGGTGCCATAATGCAGTAGTCAGTGGGTGCATCTACACAAAATGTTTACTGCAGAGCTGCCCAATTAACTCTGAAGTAAATATCTCTGCATTTATACTTGCCCCATTTCACGTATCCATATAAAACTAATAAACTACAGGGCAGGCTAGTACTTCTAAATATAGAGATTTTTTGTGCACAAGAGTGCACGTGTAGACACCGCCCAAAAAGCTGGGGCACAATAGGTGCTTCAGTGCAGGGCCTAGCTGCCACCTAGCCCCGCACTGTAGCACCCTCATGCCCCAGCCAGGCCCTACGCAGCACATTGAGCCTGGTCAGATCAGCGCTGGGCTGCTGTCAGCTGGGGCAGCTCTGACCAGGCTCAATGTGCTGTGCATGAATCAGCTCCAGAGCAAATTGCTGCAAAGTTTTTTGCTCCCAAGCGCACATTCACAAGGTGCACCCAAGTGCAAAAAAAATCTGGAGCAATAAGTTCTGGAGTTTATTCATGCACATGAACTGCACATGTAGATGTGCCTGTTGTTAGGCTCACAACCCTTCAGATCACCAGTCATAAGAACTAAAAATAGCCCATCCTAGTTCTGCTAATTCCAAAATTGCTCCCTTAAGAAATAAGTCATTATGACTGGCTTGGAAGATGAAAACAAAGAGTCCTGCCCTTGATAAACTTAATACCAGGTCAATTATACACATACACTACTTATTTCAAAGTACACATAGATCATATATAAAAACAATATATATTTATTCCGTGGTTTTCAACTTTCTCTAGCAAGTTGGAATATCTTGACCTGAACATCCTATAGCTCCATAACCAGTTACTTCTCTCATCCATTCTCAAGAATTCCAAACACCAGGTCAATTCTATGTATTTTGAGAACAAAAATGTAAAGTTTAAGTGGTGTCAGCAATTAGTTTAAACTACAAAACACAGTTATTTTGTTTTGTTTTGTTTTTTTTTTAACTTACGGGATATAAGCCACCAGACAGAGCCTTTCCAAGAAGGATTAGATCAGGTCTCACATTTTCATGGTCAACAGCCAGCATTTTCCCAGTTCTAGCTAAACCAGTTTGTATTTCATCAGCAATAAAGAGAACCTTTAAAAAAAAAAAAATCAGTAACAAATGACTGTGGGTATGTCTACACAAGATGCCGTAATGTGCAATGAACTGTTCTACTGTGCATTATCATGTCATGGCAAAAACTGTACTCATGTGCAGTAGAATTAGTCTACTGCACATTGTCACCAAAAAAAAGTTTACCTTTGCCACTGTGCATTAGCACAGCTACTGAGCTTTTATCTAGTACCTCATATTAGATGTACTAAACTTAACGCACAGGAGCAAAGGTACATTAATGAACATGCAGGCATGTCCTGTTTCGCTCAATCAGATAATCCCATTCAGACATCAACAACAAACTCTCACACAGGCAATAAACAACATAGCATATATAGTGTCGAAAAGGCCTACCAGCTAATTTACCATTTTACTTCCCCAAACTCATGAAAATGCTTTTGTACCATGGAATACACTGCAATATGTGTTATTTGAAATGGTGACTGGTAGATTATAGCCTTTGAAGATTAAGGATTCTATCCAATATGAGGCATGTTCCATAATGTGGATAATTAGTTCTACCCAATGGGTTCAATATTATGAGTGAAATGGCCATTTTTGAAAACAAGATTTCATTCAATTTGCAGAAAAACAATCAGTGATACAACACACATCACACTGTCATTGCACACCTCAATGAACAAAGTCCACATCAAAGACTATGTGCCAGTGGCTGGTTGTCTCCTGAAGAAGGGCTCAGGACTGATATGATGATAATATCATCTCACCCCTGGAGAAGATGCTTGTCAAGGTTAGCATCACTGGTAGGAGAGCTCATATTGTAACTGCCCAGCTCTCTAACCTAGGGTAAAATTCCTTTTACCTCACATAAATTGTTTCTATCACTTCTAGTGCCTTGAAAAAGTTAAGAAAAAAACAATTAAATGACATGACTGGGAAACAAAAGAGAACTACTCTAGTCATTCTCGTGCCCACTGAAAGAAAGGAAATTATTTAATAACACACTAAGTCCTCTATGCATTAGTGCAACTAAGGGTGAGTGAGCATCAGCCCTGGGTGCAGATTTAGAGGCAGTACCAGAATGACAGCCCCAGGGACCCCATACCCCTGCAGCAGCTACAACAGCCCCTTTGAAAGGAGATCAGCACCTGCCCTCACTCACCCCACCCAGACCACAAAAATTCCAAATTATACCTCAGTCTATACGTCACATTTTGATTTAAATGCACCAACAGTCCTTACATTGTGTTTTGTGCACAGCTCTCGCACTCCTGTAAGGTAACCTTCATCAGGGACAACCACACCTGCTTCACCTTGAACTGGTTCAGCCATGAAAGCTGCTACATTGGGATCCTGAAGAGCACGCTATAAAAAAAAGACATATGGATTGAAAAGATGGAAGAAGGAGAGACACATAGACAAGCAATGCATACAACTTTTACTGAAATATTCTGAGACGAATCCCAATAACAGAATCTCCAGATAAATGCAAAATTCTACTTAAGATAAACATACTGGGAGACACTAAGGTCACATATTTTAACATTTATAACATGAAGGAGTAAAAGCCAAATTCTATCTCCAACCCATAAGCATACATCACCTGTACTTTGAAAGATTAGTGGACCTGCTTGCATATAAAATTAGAAGCCTCATAGCCTTCTAGGTTCTGAGTCTAGAAAAGCCATTTATCAAATCTGTTACGTTTTTTCCCAAATATGCATTTAAATTAGCATTTCCATACATGGGAAACCTTGAAACAGATGAGCAGTTGTTTAACACTACTCCCAGTTTCAGTCAAAGGGAGACAGAGAGGGTGGGAGAAAAAGACCCACCGAAAAGCAGCTTTTTCACCCGACAGTCAGTCTGTAGGTAAGTTACCACATCTCCGACACAAAAAGCCTTGGAGTTCAAGGAAACCAAGCAGGCTTGCAATTTTCTCAGTAAATCTTCCTCTGCAAGGTGAGAATTGCCAGTGTCAGGAGATGTTTGCTGACTGCTAAGAAAGTACTGCTACAGGATGCTGGCATCTTAGTCTCCCTGAAGGAGATAGTCAAAGCCTCTGTTAATAACAGAACCCTCCTGTTTATTTATTAGCCAGGACAGACATGGGTTGAGATTATAAGTCAAAACTCAAAACACCTCCAAAACATCATTCAAGTTGGCTGAAACCCAGTAAACAAATACAGAGCTTCTGCCATGAATGTTCCTAGCCTAATCCAAATCTGAATAAACTGTTTCACAGAGTAGCTAGAAAATACTGAGATACCTTTGTTTCTGTAAGAAGTGCTGTTTCAGTGAAGTTCTTAGGAGACAAACATCTCTATCACACACGCCATCACCCCTCTCCAAATCACTGGCACCATTCTTGGCAGTCTCAGCAGACAAACCACAGGCACAGAGAGTGAACTGACCTCGGACCCTTACAGGTGTTGCCTCCAGACCATGGAAACGCAGCACGGTGAAGCTTATACTCCCACTACCTCAGCTTTATTTGTATAATGGCCAAGTGGAAGCCTTCTATCTCTGCAGCTGTAAATCCAGAACCCTATTAGCATTAAAATTCACTGATTTATTTGTCCCTGTAACCACAAAATAAATCAGCCCATGACTGTGTCAGCTCTCAAACTGATAAAGATTTTTGCTCTGCTCTTAGTTTGATAGGGAACCCCTGAGAAAACTCAGAGAATTGTCAAAATGGCAACAGCACTTAAGTGAAACAATACCACAAAATTGGTCTTAACTTGAGGACACTGTACTACTGAAAATGCCCTTTAATTATTCCTAACCATCTGTCTACTGAAAAGCTCACCGGACTTGTGAGAAGAATTCCTGAGGGCAGCATCTTAGGCCTGAATGTTGATTTTGAATTTATACAAGTTTGAACTTTTCCAGGTTCCTCCTACAGTCTCAAATATCTGGTACTTTTCCTCACTGAAGCTCTGAACACTTTAGCATCATACAATGTACTGAGCTAGCTCAGTTTTCTTTCAGTGTGCTGAAGTTAAAACTTCAAAAACCAACCAAAAAGTACAATTTATTTTACAGCCACATTTATCCAAGGGTAAATAAACCAAATTCACTTTCTTTATGTCAATATTTACTACATCTGAAAGGAGACATGTAAAAGAGTTACTACAGAGGAAGAAACCGTGAAATACCTCAAGAGCTGGTAGGTCATTGTATGGTATTATTTCAAACCCTGGCATAAATGGTCCAAACCCTTCATAACTGGATGGGTCTGTAGAGCTAGAAATGGCAGACAGTGTTCGGCCCCAGAAGTTACCAGCTAAAAGAGGAATAATAGATTATAGCAGTTAGTCATCCTTTTCAACTGAGATGGGAAAAAAGTATAGTTAGCCAACTATTAGACCAGTTCTAGTTGTTTTTTTTGAAAGAGTTATATAACATCCAAGTCTCCACCAAATGCTATGATTTTCTGCTATGTTATGAATATCACGAAGTGGTAGAAAAATTATTATATTGGAGCTGCCAAATGCACAAAATTATGGTTTTTTGTAATCTTTGTCAATAATGCAAGACATTATTAGTACTTCCAGCAGACAGTATTTCAGACAGAACTTTTAGTGAATAGTACCCCTTTAACATGGCAATCAGGTAACACTGGGTCCAACACAGAGATTTTGAAAACAAGCTTTTACACAACTTAAAACCAATAAAGATATCCCCGTACATGTTAAAGTTCCAAGAGAACAAATTTTACTTTTTAAACAAACACTTCAGTATTGTGCTGCTTCACAGGAAGACCACAGTTAAACTTACCAGGAACTAACTGTAAACCAAAGTGAAACATTAATCTGTAGTGCCACAGCTCAAGCGAAGAGAAATGTAAGACAAGTTAATTAGCACAAAGAAAGTCAGTTGTAAGAAGGTATTTAGTAACACAGCTACAGAAATTCAAGACATGGGTCCAATCTCTCAGCAGCCTTACAACTGCTTCGTGCCAATTCACTGGTGCAAATAAGACATTCAAAAAAAAGGAGACTCTAGGAGTTGCCTAGACCCAAGTATGTCAACTCCATGCAAGCTCCCTTCCAACAGCCAAGTCAAGAGGTACCACACCACTAAACAGTAGTAACACTTAGTTGCTGAATGGCCACTAATTGGATTGCATATATTTTGCCTATTGCAACTCATTCTATCTAGGAATAAAGCTCTATACAATATAAAGCCACAATTGGTACAAAATGCAGTAGCATCTGGATACTTAACATTACAGGTTGCAACAATCATGTCACCCTAATGATACACTGCACCTACTGGCTCCTTACTGAGTACAGAATCTACCCCAAAATCTCTGACCTGATATTCCAAGTCTACTGTGTTGCTGGCCCTAGATACTCAAGAGATACAATGCCAACCTCCCATCAAGACAAGGGCTGTTATTTCTATTTAACATCTTTGACAGGTAACACACTATTGTGGTTACAGGGGATGGAAATATAAAACTGGATGCATCTATCTCATTTATCAAAATAAGCCCTTTGACACTGTCTCCCATGGCATTCTCATGAATGGGGATGTAAATATCATTTTAAAAATATTCTTTTAACTTCCTCTAATTATATTGGTTAAATGATTACCCGAAAACAAAACAGCTGGGACACAGCTGCTGCTGGAAGCCGCTACCCATGCCCTCTGACTGGGTGGATGGGGGAAGGAACCAAGCCTAATCGGATAACACAGCCCATGTGAAGCCCTGGTCTAGGAGGGGAGCACCTGCGAAGAAGCAACTCATTGTTTTACTGATGAGTCATTAGGCTGCTTGCTAGTTTCCTCTTAAGCCAAGGTTCAGCAACATTTTTGGGCAGAGTGCCAAAAACACCTGCAACCTCGACTTATAAGAAGTTTGTGTGCCAGGGGTGGACAGCAGGGGAGCTGCAAGGGGCCCAATCCTTGTTGTGACAGCTCAGCCCTGGCCCTTTCCCTGCCATCCACCCCAAAGTGTACATGCACCCACCACCAGCAATGAGAAGGGCCAGGGCTTTGTGGACCCCAGTGCAGCAATATGAGGCCTCCCTGCTGCCTGCCACAGCTGGCCTGGGCTCTGAGCAGGCCCCTGCTGCCCACAATAGAGTCCAGGCTGCTTGCAGCAGGAAGGCTGCAAGAAGCTGCACCAAAATCCACATAGCCCCAGCCTGGCTCATTGCCAGTGGCAGGTACACGGATGAGGTGGATAGCGGGGAAGGGGCGAGGGCTGCACTGCCACAAGGATTGAGCCCTTCACAGACCCAACGTCCACCCCCACTGCATGTGCCAAGCAACATGCATTCACATGCCACACTCTGGCACGCATGCCAGGAGATGCTTACCCCTGTCTTAGGCTACGGATATTAGCCCCCTTCCCTCCCACACCCCTCCTCTTTACCCCTCCCTTCCTCCTGCCTGACTTGCTGCCTTCTCATTCCTGCTGGGGCACTGCATGGCTTCCCATTCCCCCTTCCCTGCAAGACTGCACCCACCCTGAGCTAAAGAATAACCAGTAAGCTAACCACTTATCACTTCACTAATCAGTTAAACTATTAATCATTTAAACTTCTGTATCCTTGTCATTAAGATAAGGAATTACAGACGAGAGAAAAGTACCATAAGGTGGATCACTGTGCTCATCGATAGCTCAATGTCTAGTTGGGAGGAGGTATCAAGTGGGGTTCCCCAGGGGTCTATCCTGGATCTGGTATTGTTTAACACTTTCATTAATGATTTGGATGATGAAATTGAGTGCATGCTTAACAGATCTGCAGGTGATACCAAATTGGATAGAGTTGCAGACACCCTGAAAGATATGGCTAGGATCCAGAATGATCTAGATAAATTAAAGCTGTGTTTCTCAAGCTATGTTTTTCAGAACCTAAGGTTCTGCATTGTCATCAGGGGTTCTCCAAAGAGACTGGGGGTAACAGCAGAGCAGGCTGGCAACCAGTTTACCACTGCCAGGCTGGGTGGCCTGGATCTACATCAGATCATGTGGCCTGCAAGACAGAGGTAGTAATATGAAAGGGTTCCATGACTTCAAGAAGTTTTCAAACTTCTTAAAGTCATGGAACCCTTTGGAAACCACTGGACTACAGAAATGTTCTGCAATCAATCAAATGAAATTCAGCAAGGACAAGTGCAAAGCCCTACATGCAAGATGGAATAATTCCATGCACAAATACAGACTGAAGAATGAATGGCTAGCTTCAGCACCACAGTTAAGGACCTGGACCTTCTCTTCACCTGGTAGAGTAGACCATAAGATGAATGTGAGCCAACAGTGTACTCTTGTTATAAAAAAAAAATCCAACAGCATATTGGGTTGTTTTAACTGGAGTGCCACCTGGAAATCAACAGAAATGATTCTGCCTCTCTATTTAGCACTGGTGAATTCTCACCTGGAGTAGTGTGTCCAGTTTTGGGCCCCACACTTGAAGAAAGATGTGGACAAATTGAAGAGTCCACCAGAGACCAACAACAATGATTAGAAGACTGGGAAGCATGACATATGAGTAAGGGCTGAAAAAGCTATGTTTCTTTAGTCTAGAGAAGAGCAGACTGAGGAGGGATTTAATGTCTTCAAATACCTGAGGGCCAGTTATAGAGAAGATGGAGATAGACTCTTCTCTGTGGCCATGGCACTAGAAGCAATGGCCCTCAAGATGCCGCAGAGGAAATTTAAGCTTGAGATTAGAAAGAACTTTCTGACTATGAGGGTGGCCAAGAATTAGGATAGAAGTTGTAGAATCTCCATCCCCGGAAATTTTCAAGAGCAAGTTAGAGAGACACCTGGATTAAGTGGTCTAGTCAGAGATGATCCTGACTTGAGCAGGGGGCTGGGCTAGATGACCTCATGAGGTTCCTTCCAGCCCTATTTTCCTATGTTCCTATAAGATAGGATTTGTTAAACTGCCTTCTCTAAGTAGTAAGTTAAAAATGTAAGAGGGGTTGAGGGGAGTACAAATAAACTGTTTTAAGATTTCAAACACTTCCGGCATTTTAAAATATCACTGGCCCTATAGACAGTTATGCAATATTCAACTCTGACCTTTAAAGAGCATTTACAAACATAATTGAATTCAGTGAGGTTGCAAAAGCAGAACTAATGGTGGGTTAGGGTTTAACCGCTATCTGCACCGAGTGCCAAAGCAGCCCTCACAGCTGCTTCAGTTAAAAATCAACTTGTCATTGACTAGAGATATAAAAGCTCTTCAAAACAAAAATAGAAGTCACTGAATGACACTAGTATTGAGACATATTAGAGTATTTTTCAGTGTTTCAAAATATTCAAGTAAAGCATTCTTTGCTAGTAAGAGAATGCCAACATAGTAATCTGAGCTAGGTAGAAGTGGTTATTTTTTTAGCAAGACACAAGTTCTTTTCAATCACAAGCCAGAAATTATGCAACTGATTGACTAGATGCAACAAAGAACACTAGGAAATGTCAGCTCCTAGTACTGAACTCTGCTAGACTGCTTGTTATACTCACTACCTAATTAAGATTGTGACATAGCTCTGCTTGGATTAAGATACCATAATTTATGCCAAATCTATAAATAAGAATCACAGACAAAGTTACTCAGAAGAAAAAATTCAGTCTGAAAGCTGCAGAGCGAAGGGGGGTGATTTCAAATGCTGAATGTCCTAGGGAACCAAACAAAGATCCGGGATTGGCTGCCTGATTAGATCCTTCTCATCAGCTGGTCTGCTGAGCTGCCTAAGGCATGCCTGAAAGCAAAACAGATTTTGCACTTAACACAATAATGGGAACAACAGGGAAAGTGATGTAACCTCACAGAAAACTGACAAGTCTAATGGGAACTGTTACTGGCTATTAGGTTCTCATTTACAAAGGAAGTTTTAAATGTGCAGAGGCACAAAAACTTGACTTTGTGGTTTAGAAACACACTGGATATACAATTTATATTACATAGGAGGTTAATAGAAGATCCAAGTTCCAAGCTTCCAAAATCAAAGTTCATCATTCTGTTTTCCCTGCAGGAGTTGCAATGGCCACATGCATCTAACAACAAAAAAGGGAACTATACTCATTACACTGTTGTCAGATTTGGTATAAATATTTCCAGGGAAGCAGCAAGCGGAAGTATACATTTAAGACAAAGAAGAATTCATTTTAATTTTCAGGGTTTTTTTATATTAAAAGCATTCCTGTTAAGACAAGATACATTTTCTACATGACATAGAATCTCCACTAAAACTAAACTTTACAACAGTGGTTCTCAACCTGATCAGACTTGAAGCACCCCTCCATAACTTTTCTGATTTTGATAGCCCTTCAGTTGAGAACCACTTTTCTAAAGCTAATTAGCTGTGTGCCCTGGGCACAGAGAGAGGTGAGGAGGGGGTTGTGTTGACAGCAGGAGAGTGGGGAGCCAAACATACTCTTACCTGGGCACACCCAAGGGCTCCCAGCAGGGACCCAGGACAGAGTTCCTTCAACAGCCTTACTCATCCTCCCTTCTGTTAACCCTCTCAAACATGCCAGGATCTGCTTGTAGAACCTGGCTGTAAAAGCTTAATTTGACTGTGGCTGTGAAAGAGTTAACAGAAGCTATTGTTGCACAGCAGGGAGAGAAGGACCCAGGCTGTGAGGCGAACCCTGACTCTGGTCAGCCCCTCCCCACATCCCCCCACCCCCATCTCCCCAGTTCATCTGCCCCACCAGAATAAACAGCATCTCAGCAAACCTGTACTGAGAACAACCCCCTGCTATCAGTCCTGGACCCCTGCCTACAGAGGGATAGCAAGCTCTTTGGGGGTGGGAGGTGAAATTGTGCTGGCTACTGGAGGTGGGTGGGGGGAGAGAGAGAAAGGGAGAGGGAGAGGGTGGTGCACAGCAGTACAGCTTGGCTGCTGCCCTGAAGAACAGGCAGCAGTGCAGGCTACCAGGGGGTTGCTGTAAGTCCCCTGTTGGCTGCCCCCCACCAGTCCCTTGAGGCAGGGCTGTGCCTCCCTTGGTAAAACTTTCATGGCAGGGGTATCATTCCACCCTTTCTGCTCCCAATACACTGCTGGGCATGGGGTTGCACCTGCCCACTCCTATAGTGGGCAGCAGCACATGGCTGCCTCTGCCTTCACAAAGACTCCTGGGGGCCTCTAAATCAGCACCCACGGCTGGTGCCCTGCTCGCTCCCCCGACCCTGCTCCACCCACCTAGTTACACTACTGTCCCCCCACCCCATAGTCAGCGCCGAGGGCTCATGCCCCAATCACCCAGCTACGGCTGGGCAAAACTGTCTGCTCTGCCTCACGAGGGACAGTGGCAGGAGAACCCAGCGAGGGCTGCAGCTGCTTTCCAGTCCTCTTGGCATGCCCCTCTTGGGACAAAGACATGCTGGATAGTTCCACCTGGATGCAGTGGATGTGCCAGCTTTCTGGCACCCCTGAACAGGTCTCATGGCACCCCCAGCTGAGAACCACTGCTTTAAACCTCATTCAAAAGAAGTGAAATCAATTCTTAAACTCATATTTCACTTCAGTGTACTAAGCATTTCATCCATAATACTCATCCTAGACTATATGGAAGATCTGAACTTTTATACATGAGAGAAAATTGCAGAAAGAAATATTCTGAGAAGACTAAAAATATTGAATTCAAAGTCCTGCAAAAGAGAATTGTTTTAGGTGTGCATGCTGCTACCTCACACTACTCTGAACTCACAGCATAATGACTCAACAAACGAGAAGTCATATTTAATGTCTGGTTTTAAAGGAAAGCTGCAAGTTTAAAAAAAAAGAATGTGTAGTTACAACATGTCATCATTTTTTACAAGAAAACAAAAGAGTGTTAGCTTATGGGTAGAGTTCTATTATAATAGCAAATAGTTTCTCTCCCCTGCCAAAATACAAGCTCTTATGACTTTACCTCAACATACCTGCAAAAAGAATCTTTGCTTTGTATTTTGGAATTCCCTTAACAGTATATGCCCACTTACGAGCCAGTTTACAGGCAGTTTCTCCTGCTTCCACTCCTGAAACACAAAACCAACATAGTTAACATGCTTGTTTGTGCAATCTGGACTTTTGTGCAAAACCAAAGGTTGTAAGAACAATAATTCCCATACACACAGGTGGGAAAACAAAGAGAGTGCTTCTACCTGTGTTCATTGGAAGAACTTTATTGTAGTTGAACATTTTTGTGACGTACTCTTCATATTCACCAAGCACATCATTGTAGAATGCTCTGGAGGTAAGGGTCAGTTTCTCAGCTTGAGATTTCAGAGCATCCACAATCTTTGGATGACAGTGACCTTGATTGACAGCACTGTAAGCGCTCAAGAAGTCAAAATATTTTCTGCCTTCAACATCCCACATGTAAATGCCTATAAAAATATAATATATGAGCACATGAAAAAAGAAAAACACTGAACTATTCACTAAAGCAGTGAGTCTGAACCTTTTAGACTCAAGGCACCCTTCATTAGATGCAAGGCACCCTTCAGAAAATGCCAGCTCTTACTTTTCACTCCGTTTTGGACTACAGAAAAATAACAGAACAATTCTTCTGTTGCAAAGAACTCAGAAAGACCACAACATGTCAGAACGGTTTTAACACTATGGATTCTCTGGAACATGCATGCATTGGCGACGTGTAAGGGGTGCATGCGGGTGCACATGCACCCCCTGAGATTGACTCTGCACCCCCTGCAAGCGCCAGCTGCAAAACTGTAAGTGCCAGCGGAAGCGCACTTCCAGTTTCGCCGATCGGCTGCTGGGGAATCCCCCTTCACTAGTCGGCAAGCTGGTGCCCCCCCAGACTCGGGAGGCACCAGTCACCTATGCATGCATGAATGGTGTGTCTACCACACAGGCACCTTGATTAAAGTCTTTTAAGTGACAGACCACAGCCTGGATAGGAAACTAATGCAGCATAATCAGTAAGCAACACTCAACAGTAGCAATGCTTCACATATGGGGCTGTTGCTACAGTAAATAATTTAGGATCATGTGAATTCTCATTGTTGCTTGTATCCCATGTTCCTGGTGTTGAGTCCTGGGAAGGTGACTCTTGTAAGGAGTTAAGGATAATGGAAGTCTTAATACTGGGATCCTGAAATTTTTCTCAAAGTACTGGAGATAACTGAATTCCTTCAATCTCTACAAACAGTTTCTGCTTCCCCACATAGTACTGAGTAATCTGCCCTTGCTGACACAGAACCACTAAAAACTTTTTTGGATTAATGAGAACTGTAAAGAGCAGTTGAGTGATTCTGACATAAGGACCAAGTTACACTTGATCAACCAAGGGTATGTGCAAGAGATCACTGATATACTTTTGGTCTTAAATTACAAATCATGTGACAAGGCTCATTCTATTTCTGTAAACTGTTGAAGTACAGCCATTTATTCACTTGGGGCCAGATTCCACTCCACCTGTTAGGTATCTAAGTGGATGTATGGGACTAGGTGAAAACAGGTGGAATAGTAACAAGTGCCTGAAAATCCATCACTGCATTCACTTTTGGAACTTTAACCTTAAGGATGTCATTTTAACCTTAAGAATGAGTTACACAAAGCAATAAGGAGCAGAAGGATCCATCTTTTGCATTAACCATTTTTTCAAGGATTCAATCAGCGTGAAATAGAATCGACTTGGGCACCTAAGGTCACTTAAATGCTATGTAAGTGGAACAGAATCCGATCCTGGGCTTTTAGAGATCTTTAACACTCAAAATTCCTGAAGACTTTGTTAGGTGAGCGTGCACGAGCAGGGGTGTGCATTTGCCACAGCAAAAGTTGCAATAGCACTAATCTGTGCCACAGCTTTTTGCCACTGTGTACGCCCCTGCACATGGGTTTTGATGCAAGGCAATATGGCCGTTTCCCTGCTCCTCTCAGCTCCCAGTGTGCTGGAGGAGCCAGGGAACAACTAGAGCGGGGGAGACAGTCTGGCCAGAAGCCAGTGCATTTCCCTGGAAGGCCCAGCCTCTGTGTCTGCTGGAGCACCACTTTTTTTTTTTTTACAGCAGTTTTTTTCTTTTATACTAGAAGTTCCCAGTATCAAATCTGCAGCACAGCAAACAACTTCACATGTACCATGAGAGGTTTGTGGCACTTCAGCTTTGAGATACTGCAAACCACATGTACACACTCATCTGGACATGTGCACCCTCAATATTTAGATACACTGATCAAATTATTATTTTTTTTTAATTACCAGAAGCCTTTAAATGAACAGTCACGCATTTCAGCCTTCGATTAACAGCTAGCTTTCACTATCTCAGACATTATCAAGTTCTATCTGATTGCCTTCAGTAAGTTTGTATATTTCTGAAAACAGTGTAAAAACAATTTGAAAAAGAACAATACCTTTTCCTTTTTCTAGAGCAACAGGTAGAGGATGATAGTTGTGTGCACCATATTTAGCCTCACGTTCAAATATATACTCAGAAGATGGAGGTCCTTGGATAGTTTTTTTGGTTGCGATAGATGCAGTTGAACTCACTGAAGCATGAAAACCACGATGTAGGAGAGACAAGGTTTGTGAGTGGGCCAGTTTGGAAAACATTATTGGCTTCAGGTGCGTGGTTACGTATCTGACAAAAGAATATTAAACAGTTAGTACCAGCACTCCCCTTCAAAAGAAATGTCTGCAGGGATTAAAGTGCTTTTCTACCAGATTACTAGGTCTATATCTCATTTATAATCCAACTAAGCTTATATTAGGTACAAAAGAATGCAGTCCTATCATCAAATATCACAGTAATCAGGCTTCCTGATTAATATACAATAGTCAGTAGTCTATAAAAAATATAAAATGATTGATCCCTTGTCTGCACATAGATGTTGTTAAAATTCTACAATGCCATCATTCTTTTATTGTATATCCTAAAAGTTAGTAACTTAGAATTAGCAAGATAAAGAAAATGATAGAAATTTAAGTGTAGCAATAAAAATGCCAAGTATAATTAAATAATAAAATTGTGTACATCTATATTGTCCTTCATCTGGTGAGTCAAATTCATATCAGTGAAATCCTAATGCAAGATCAGAGACTAAATTATTTAAACACAATCAAGAATATGCCCTCTTGCAACTCAAATAAAGTTTAGGTAATAGTACAGCCAAATTTGATAGAATTCAAGTCATTCTAAGTAAGTGTAAATCATCTTAAGGAAATGAATTTCTGGGCTTGGTATTAATTGCTTTGTACCTCACTGACATGAAATTCATTTGGCTGTATATGAGATACACTGATAAAGCAATTTGCTTCAGATAAGCAACCTCAATAGAACCATTATCTTAATTTAAAAGCATAAAGGTGAGAAGCAAACACATAAAAGGACATTATTGTTATTTTTTATATGGGGATTTACATAAATAATTATGGGTCAGATGCAAGTGGATATGAATGTGTTACTCTTTTATTACTGCAAGCTGCCAATAAACTCTTGGCTTCAAACTCTTTAATACAGAATCCCATCTAAACTCCAGACTAATATGGGATTCACTCAGAGGCCAAAAACACATCTCTGTGGAGAGGCAGAACCATTTCCAAGAAACCTGTGCTGGAAATCTGAAGAAGAGATCAGCTTGTGATGGCAAAAATGTAATGGCAAAGCAAGGCCACTTTCCTCAAGTGTATAAGAAAAAGATTCTGACAAAAAAGAATCTATTATAAAGTGTAAATGTTTCTGTACTCCCACAGTACCATTAAAGATACTGTTAATATTTATTTCTACTGAATCTTTTCTTAAATAAAAGACATGTGAAAAGTTCAGTGCCAAATACTGAATATTTTTATGCCAGCTAAGAAGGAACTTTCTACAGTTCAATAAGTTTCAGACCAAAGATAACCTCAGGTGAGAGTTTACTCCTATAACTAGTCCTATAGACATTTCCATTACCCTTCCCATGTGGCCCACCCTTTCAGAATGGACAAGTTCAGAGAACAGACTCATTCTACAATTTAAACAGGAGGTGGCACAGAACTGATTTTCTATGCAAGTTCTGCAAGCACCTGACACGTACTACTGTATACCCAAACATCCCTAGATTTATTTTGTGCAAGTTTCCCCACCCAAGGAAGAGAATGTTTCAGAAGAAACAGGAAAGATTTAGACAGGCCATTAGTTCTGGGATGCAACTGATAGCTGAAAGAACAGGAAACTGTGACCACTGAAAGTTGGGAGACAGTGCAGTAGCTTAGGACGTTTACCAAAGATCTCTAAGGGAGCCTCTGTAAGATCTAGTAAATCATTTTAGATACCTATTTTACAACTTTAACACTTTCTAGATTTCTAAAGCATTTATCTCATGCAGAAGACAATGAGCACTTCAGTCACTCTACTACAATACCGATGAGGTTGTGGCAGTACACCTTTGGTGCCTGCCACTTTAAGGACTGGAGCAGGCAGCTGCTGGCAAGGGAGGCAGCAACATCAGCCAACTGAACTCCTGCTCAGGGACCTGGAGGTAAAGGTAGATGGAGGTTCTTGTTGTCCTGGGTAAGACATGATACTGAGCCCTGCCGGGGAAGGGTGGCCTGGTAGGGCTCCTAGTGGTGTAGAAGCCCCCAGGAAATGCCAGGCCAGTTACCTCCCCAGCGAAATACAGGAAGGGGTGCCTTATAACTCCAGCCCCACATCCCTGGTTGTGCTCCAGTAGAGCAGGGGGAGCCCAGGCTCATTAGGAGCCCTGAGACAGAGTCCAGGCCAGAAGATGGACCTGGAGCCACACCCAGGCAGCAGGGTAAAGCCTGAGGGAGCGAGTAGGGACCCTGAGAGAGGGGAGATGGAGAGAGAGGCCCTGTGAGCGGGCAACAGATAGAGAGGCCCTGAGAGAGGGGCATGATGAATAGGGAAGAGGCCCAGTGGGGGCATGGAGCGAAGTAGGCTAACAGTTGTAGAGTGGCTCAGCAAACGTTTAGGTGACAGCAGCAGGAGATGCTCAACAGACTGCAAAGGAGCTGACCAAGGCATGGAGAGACAAGCCTGAAGCTGGGTGAGGCCGAGTGGTATGAATGTGACCCAGGAGAGAGGACAGCATGAAAGAGGCCAGGTAAGAGCCAGCAGAGTGAATGGGACCCCAGTGAGAGATGGATGGCATGACAGTGGCCCTCCGGGGTATTATGGAAGAGCAACTGTGTGTCCAGTTTGCTCCGGACCTAGGCCGGAGCGGTAACACCCAGTGGAACATCTGCGAGGCATGGGGCACGTACAGGGTTGGTCAGAGCATGAATCTGTGGCCCTAGCCATTGGGACGTACAAAAGGTAGTCTCCCACTCAACTAACAGCTGAACTCTATTTTCATCAAGGCATGGCAGGCTAGTGGAGTGGACAGATTGCCCAGAGACAGGGGAAGACTGGAGGCAGAAACCTGGCCAAGCAGGTAACCTTATTACAGAGGTGAAGTGATTTCTAGTATTTGAGTCACACTTTTTGATAGAGTAAAAGAATGTGCCACTCATTTTAATCCCTGAGTTTGCAATTAGAGCAATTATGTATAGATTAAAGTTAAGGAAACCTTTATAAAATAGGGTTAGTAAAAAAATACTAAACTTTGTTTGGAAGTTTGTTTTTTTTACCCCATTTGGTAAAAGGTTTAATATCTAAATAAAATCAACTGTTCTTAAGGAAATCACTTAAGGTTAAAAAAAAAATTCCACTCTGGTAATACCAATCATAAACTGCACTAGTCTGCAGGAAGCACTACAGAATAACTCTGAAATGTGAACTTCCTGTTCATTTCAATTGGGGCTAACTTGGATGCCAAGTGGTGATACTTTCAAACGTCAAAATTGTTAATTGTTTCACAGCTGAAAGCATTAAGGAGGCCATATCATATTATAAAGTCAAGCCAAGATTTCTCCAGGAATGGGGTATGTGCCACTGACCAGCACAAAAGACAATGCAGGGCTCTTACGAAGTTGCCAAAAAGAATGTACCTACTGGGCAGTAGGGAGAAAATACAATGGGTTACCCCCATCATAGAAGATGTACGTATTCCAGTGGGTAGGTCTTTAGCACTGCGTGGCAAGATCATAGGATAAGGAAAGGGTAGGGCATAACTGGTTTCATTGTCCTGTGTGGAAGCATAGCTTCACAAAGTCTCTGCAGTACTGGTGGAAAGAAAAAGAGCCTTAAGAAGCAGCTATGAAACACAGCACTGGAACAGCCTGACTGCAGTCTCCGGAGACAGCTCTTCAGCAATTAATAATATCCTACTCCCAAGGACACATTTAAAAACATAAATATTAAGTCACACAGGGTGCGCCTACACACACACAGTGGCATCCCAGCACAATTGCCTACTGACACTTACTGTGCAGTAGCAACCAGCTACCGTGCAGTAAGCATCTCATGTAGACATGCCCACGGAAACTAATGGCTGAGCTGTCTGCAGTCAGTAAATTTTGTTATCCTCCACAGGCAGGTGTATTTTTCAAACCCATTGTAATATCTCCTGAACGCTTTCCCCATTACCACTGAACTGTCTATCAAAGGCAGCTATGAAGTTTATTAAAATCTAACGTTTTTTAAATTTTTTAATTTCTTTCCCATTTATCTTAAGTAATATTTTGTCAAGGCATATCCTTCTTTCCATACCTAAATAAATATTCGACTACAATACGCATGTTGGTAATAAGGCTGTCCTAAAACATTGATGTATTTCAACAATGTCAGAATCCTGGACAGAAAAACTCTTTAGACATGATGAATCAAAAAGTATTCACTCAGAAGCCCCGGGCCTACATTACAGCACTGGTCTTTGCTGCAGGTATCAAAACCAGAAGCAAACAATTGCATCACTGCCCTTAATTTTCAGAAGGTAAAAGCTGCCAAACAGAACCCCCAGATCAAGAGGGATCCCCTGAGGAACTGCAAACAAGATACCTACATAGCACAAGTGATTCTGCTGCACACAAGGAGAATATAGTAGATCCAGACTTATTTAGGCCAATAGGGTGTTTCCAGTATTGCAAAACACCACATTTAGAAATTCTTTAAAAAGCATGTAGTCCACAAAGAAAAGTCTAAATAGCACAGACACCTAATCCTATTATCAAATGTTGTACCTCTCGCTTACTCTGCGGTAAGCTGGAGTTAAGCTCTGAAGCAGGCCCCTAATTTCTGTTCCAGTCTCAAGCAGCAATCCTGAAATTCTCCAACTACTTAAAGTAAATTAGTTCTTGCTTTTTAATGAACATGAAAAAGCCAAATCACAAGCTCACTATCATCTGTGTTACTTATATTGCTACTGAATTCAGTTTTATACTGTCTCCAAATTTCCATCATTTAACATAACAATTGCTCTTATAACATAGCTGTGCTGCAGCCATTGTCAAGGAGATTTTGGCAAAAGGGTAGTTTCTGTATTTAGCAATGGGAGAGATGGTGTAAGGAAATGACTGAGCCTCCTCCTAAGCAGATGGAAAAGTGATGTGTCTGGAGGACAACTTGTGCCCTGCCAGCTTCCTCACAACCTGCCACGCCATCCAACAAAACACTTAGCTGACGTGCATTCATCCATACATAGGCAGACAAGGTTCTTTGGGTAAATCCAATATCTTTTATTAGAGCAACTCAAGTAGTTGGAAAATAGTTTCCAAATATTTGAGTTGATCTAATAAAAGATTTACCCAAAGAACCTTGTCTGCCTATGTCCTTAGACCAACACAGCCACAACCTACACCCCTTCATCCATACATGTCATAGCTGACACTCCAACAAGCTATGGAGTGAAAAAGCAGAACACAATGAGACATTCCCCACTTCTGGCTTCCTCAAAAGCGTTTTTCTTTGGGGCATCAATCGTGAAGGGTTTTCTGTACTGCACTGTAGCAAAACTACAAAAGTTAAACAAGATAAAGATATCAAATAATAACAGCGGAGGCACGTGGGAACAGTTCACACTTCAGAGCTGTTCTCTCAGGCCCGGCTGCAGACTCAAAGCCATCAGTTTACATTCAATTTCATGTATGAAAGGGTTTTCATAAAGGCTAAAAAAACCCCAGCTTCTGCTACACTGTCTTAAAGCAAGAGGCAATTTCTGCAGCAAATTCCACAGCCGTGAAATCACTGCGCCGCACCTCTAGGCAAAGCCAGCGTGCAATTGGCCATGTTCGCTTGAGAAGAAAAAGAAAAAAAAACAAGCCATGCAAGTCTGCCTTACTCTTGAAGAAATCGTTTCCTCCTCCTCCAAAAAAAAAAAAAGGAGGGGATATTGAATTTCCTACGTCTTGGGATCTTACCAACTCGTGGCAGGACCGGTAAATGTTACCATTGTACGTTAGTCATTTTCACAAAAGAAAGGTTCCTTCGAAGATGTTTTACAGGCAATTGAGATTCGAGGACGGAGGAAAAACACCGTGACGGAAAGCCAGCTCAATTGCATCAGTCAAAAACCTTGTATCTGGTTTCAGTGCTCGGATGCTATTGGCCCGCGCTACCCCGGCCCCTTCGCACACCTCCGCGCCACAACAGCTGGCGTCCTCCCGCAGGCCCGGGCAGCCTTGGAAATCCTCCAGGCTCCAGCCTCTGACTCGGGCTGCTTTCTCGAGGGCGGCAGAGCGTGTCCTGCGCGGGGACTGGGGAGGCGAGGTTGAAAGGCCGGGGGTGGGGGGAGGCACGGACTAGAAGCTCTGCGGGGCCCCCTTCGCCAAGCAGCGGGGAATAAAGGGGGACGACGGGGGGTACCGCCCAATTCTTCCGCCCCGCCCGGGAACCCCGGCCCGGCCCAGCCCGCCGTTACCTGCCGGCGCTGCTGGTCCGCGCGAGAAAGAGGTGGCAGCGCCTCCGCTGGCAACTGTCACTGGCCCGCGCCGCCACGTCACCGCGCCGCTGCGGGAGGCCGCGCCCATTGGCTCCCTCCTGCACCGCTCCGCCAATCGCGGCGCGGCCCAGAGGCCCTCCCACCGGCAGCAGCCGCGCATTGGTCGGTGGCGTTCACGCCTCCGCCAATCTTGCCGCGCTACTGAAGCATGACAACTTCGAACCTCTGTTCATTGGCCGGCTGCGGGATGCCGCTGTCCAATAAGCGCGCGCTCTCTCGCAGTTTCCCCCGCACACCCCCATGCCCCATGTCCTTGTCCATGATTGCGCTCCTGGCTTGGCCCACACTCAGCTTGGTGCTGCCTTGGAGGTGGCGGCTCTGCCGTGCAGGGACGTGGCCCGTGGGGAGAGGGAGCCTCCCTCCAGGACTCACCTCTGCAGGGTTCTTCTGTCCCCGCTCTGTCTTCACGGGGCAGGAGGCACGTGAAGGGTTTGCCGGTTCCGTCCGGGCCTGCCCATGTCCTTCGACCCGCACGGCTACAACCAAAAGCCCCGTTCCACCCTACATTTTGGGAACGAGTGTTGACCTCGTTGCATGTTCGTATCCTTGGGCCTGCAAGTAGGATGCCTGCCAAAGGATTTAGGAACATCTGAAGCCCCAGGGGGGGTGGAGGATGTTTGCCGGTAGTAGGGCCACTTACGGTGCTGGACTCCTGGATTTGGAATTCGTTTTGGCTAATTTGGCCTCATGCAAATTTATTGAGGAAAAAATAGTGTGTGTGTGATATACCATACTTCTCAGCCTTTCAGCTCAGATAAAGCATAGTCTATGCTTACGTAAGGGAAATACCGTGATCACCACAGTGGCTTCCTAGTCACACCCTGGGAAGACTGCTCTGCTGGCATGGGATAGTACCCGTGTAGGGTAACACATAGTTAACCTTGGCTTTATGCCCACTTCGAGACTCCTCCCCAGCTTGCTCCTGGAGCCTTATGACTAAGGGCAAGCGAAACTCAGGGGCATCCGAACCCCAAGCCTCCAGGCTTGGGCCTGCAGGTAGGATGCCCACCAAAAGATTTGGGATTTTCTGAAGCCCCAGGTAGGCGTGGAGGATTTTTGCCAGTAGTAGGGCCACTTATGGTTCTGGACTGACTCACGGATTTGGAATTGATTTGGCCTGGAATACAGCCATGTGGCTTGGAATACAGTCATATGACATCATTTAGGCCTGGTCTAAATAGAACCACATACAGAAAGGTTCAATCCAACCGGCAAATGTTTGAGAACATTACAAGAACATGGAAAAGGCGCTTTACAATTGAAATCTTCATGCCTGCTTTGCTTTTACCTTGACAGCGTGGTAATTCCCTGTTGCTGCTCCCAGCTGTCTTCTACACGTGCAGTGAACTTTTCTCTCACTTATTGTCCTGTTCCTTTACTAAGCATAGAAGTTATATTTATAGGGAGATAATTGCCAGGATCCTCCTTCTTTCTATTTTTTGGGACAAATTATTCATAGATTCATAGATTGTAAGGGCTGGAAGGGACCTTGCAAGATCATCAGGTCCAGCCCCACTGCACCAGGCAGGAAAGACAACTAAATTTGTATTTAAATCTTTTGCTCCTTAATGTTTTCTGGAGGGGCTTCTTGGGGGCGGGCTTGGCTTTTCAGAAATAGTTATTGGTGGTTTACTTTGTTTGCTAGTAAATTCCCCTTCTAGTATATTTACGTGGAAAATGGATTCGCTGCAAACCTACCCCGTAATGACTGAAAACTTGTTCTTCCTATTACAATAAGCACTTGTAGTGTCAAACAAGTGTACGAGCAACAGTTGCTTACCATCAACATTCCCTCTGGGAATATTGTCCCTATCATGTATTATCCACCCAGTAACAGTAACATAGGTGCTGCTTAAGACCAACATTTGTGAAGGGCAGGGATAATCCGATGTAATTCATGGACTTGTCCTTCTGTTTCCTTGCATCAGGTTATTCAGTAGATGGTCTTGTGTCCAAACAGACAAAATGCCAAAAATCCTCTCACTTAAACAAAAAGATGGGATTATCGGAGCTGTCAGACACCTGGTGTTAGTCAAAACCAAGTAACAGGCAGTTGCATGAAATGCTTGTATGCAGAGTCTAGAAGCAGAGAGAAACATTTGACTGACTAGGGGACAATGGACTGGTCAAGACCACACATGAGCAGTCTGAATACCCCACACAAGCCTGCAGACCTTGATGTCAATGAGGATCTTTTTTCATGGTTCAAGGAGTTGATGGCACAGGGAGCAGCACTTTCAGGAGCCTCAGTCGAGGAAAAGGCTCTTCACTCTTCAGCTTGCCACTTCAGTTGGATTGCATGATTTTAAGGCCAGTATGACTGATTTACAGAATGAAAGAAACAATACAATGTCACTTACAAAAAGAAGCATGGAGAGAAACAGTTGACAAATAAACCACCAGCTGAAAAATGGCAGAGCCAAAGGCCACCTTGGAGACTGCTAGGCTCTATGCCCTATTCCAGCCATCTCAAAGCCTTCACTGTCAGTATATGCAAAAAGAAGGAACCAGGTGGCCAACACACCCCCATCTTCTAGTCATTCTTGCCTGCTATAGTATTGCTCACTGATCATGGGCAACCAAGTAAAAGATAGATTAGCCCTCAGGCAGCCCTATCTTATGCCCAGGGTTCAGATAGGCTCCTGAACACCCTCAAAATATAAAGGGACACCAAGTTTGTGAAAGGCCAATTTTGTAATCACAGTCACCACCTTCCCTAAGTTCCTGTGTCAGTGAACCAGAATAAAAGATGCATCTCCTGGAGCAGAGGACTATTCTTTTACAGTTTTAATAAAGAGTCTTGATCAGTGGTCATGCTTTTATTTTTAATTATGAAAAAGTTGTGGGCTATCATACCGTTAAGAAGAGGCTCTCTCAAAAATTATACATCAGCTGAGTTGTCAGATGTGGAATAGCTCCTTTTTGTTTCTTGACAAACAAACCACCCCAGGCTCTTCTACCATGACATATATAGGGAAGCAGGCCTCCTACGGTTGTTGCAGAGGGTCAAAAAAAGAACTAGGTGCTAGGGTCACACCCAGTACCAGTTGTCTTACCTTTCCACCTGCCTAGGCTCAAATGTGAGACACAATGTGCATGTGTATACTGCCACCGTGGCAGGCCTAGGAACACCACTGAGAAGCACATCCTGCCCACTTGCTTCCACTCAATGCATGCCAAAGCCCAGAAATTAGATCATATGCCCAATCTAGTGCAATTCCAAAATTGTCAAGAAGTGCACCCAAAACAGAGTCTGAGAGCTCTCTGGGCATGTGCTAAGCACCACACTGACCTGCCTTATTTTTGCACTTTGGCACATGCTGAGGGAGCAAGTGAACAAGCTCTTTTTCTTGGCAGTGCTTCCAGGCTCACCACAGAAGCAGAATAGTAGACATACTCAACAGGTTGATGTATGGTTGACCCAAAATGGTTGATACATAATTATTCAGACTGGAAACTTAACATACTGAGAGATCCATGCCTTAAGTATAAATAACTTTATATTAACCTCAGCTCCATGATTTCTGATGTAAATAATTGGAACGCTAAAAGGAAGAGATATGATTCGAGAAACCAGTTAAAATGAACGATGCCCTAAAAACAAGTAGAAAATAAGAGAGATGCTCTCCCACAAAACTCCCAGGTACTAGTGGAAAGAGAAGCATAAGCAAGCACTGCCCTTCCACATCACTGGCTTTTCACAGAATAACCAGAAAAAATTGAGAGTTAAAAGAAAATATGTGAGGTAAGTTTGATAAATATGCTGTCCTTATTCTGCACAGAAGTGCAGGCTGAGACAACTGATGAGAATATTTTACTTTTATCTTCTTGTTATCATAAAAACAAAGTCTAAACAATGACCTCTTATGAGGGCCTCTCTTTTGTTCATAAATTGTCCTTGACAAGCCTATCAACACTGGAGAGCAGAACATTCTTTCCTCAGGGAAAATAGGTTATACTAACTGACAGTACAGATAATTAGCATAATATCCTCAAAAACCCTAAGCCTGTTTTTGAAAACATTTCTGAATCTTATCATATCCTCTAGGTTGTTCAAACTTTGCATGTCAGAGAGCAGTCGTGGTTATATAGTTACAGAACAAAATACTCAAGAGAAAAACTTTCCTATACCCATACCCACTCATCATGCCTGGGGAAGGGTTAGGAGATGGTTTGGGACATAACAAGAGATTATGTTTTAATACATTTATATACATTTGGTTTTAGCTTTGCTAGTATTTCTTTGCTCTTCATAGCTAGATTGTGCATAGCGAAGAATGCCTTCAACTCCTGCTGAAGTTAATAAAAGTTGAGTTGTACCAAACCCTATAAAACTGAGCCTATAGCAATAAACTGCAAAATGTATTCCACAATATATGTGCTGGAGAAATAGATACTTACGTAATGGGTGCAGCTACACGGGACACATTAATGTGCATTAGCCTAATTTAATGCACATTATGGGTGCACATCTACACCTTAATGCACATTAAATATGGCAAAATTAGACTAATTGCACCTAAAATTGTTACCTGCAAATGTCTGCAAATACAGGTATCAAATTTAGATGTAACTTGTTAAAGCACATTAACGCACTAAGTTTAGTGCCGGGTCTGCCCAGCCACTAAGGGCACATGGCAGGGCTGCATGGACTTGGCATGCAGCCTAACTTTAGTGCCAAGTATACTAAGTTTTGCGCCAAGTGCACTAACTTTACTGCCAAGTGCCTGCACATGTAAATCACTTAACATGCATTAGCTTAATACGCATTAAATTTAGTTGTACTTAAATGCATATGTAGACACACCCAGCACTAAGTGAAGTTAGTGCGTGTTTCTAGAATCATTAATGTTTCAGGGAGCAATGAGCCCATATAAGATACAGTAGAACTTCAAAATAACCCTGCCCACACCTATCAACCATGTGTCCAGTTAAGGGCATGCTGCCCCCATATTGTCTCTGCAACTAAGTTTCTTTTCTTCCTCTTAAATGTCTATAAAATATTTTTGCTCTTTTTTTGATCAGGAAATTTCTTGCCATTTGCTACGGCTTGAAAAAATGCCCTTCCTGCATTTCTAAATGTTAACAAAGTACATTAAAAGCATTTTTTTATTTTACTGCATTTTCAGTATTTTGATTTTAATTCAGGGCATGAGCAAAAAACTTTAAGTTTTTGTTCATCTGTGAGACATTTGTGCATTTGAAAAAAACTAGTAATCCTGGGACCAGTTCTTGCCTTCCAGTTCAGCCAGAGAAAGGCTTCCCCTGAAGCAGATGTTTGTCAATGTTAGTCCTGAAAAATTGGACCTGATGGTTAGACCTTTGGCATTTTATTAGCACATTAGATATGCTATCTTATCAGCTTTTTAAAGCACTGATGATGTGTTTAACCTTACTAAGACTTCTTCTAATGCACGCACATAAGATACTGGGAATTAGTCTGTGAAATCTTGGTAGACTGGGACTCTTATTTAACTTAAGCAACATGAATCTTTCACCAATCTTTAAAAGCTATGTTTTTCAAGGACATTTGTAATTGTTTTAGGTCAACCATGCATGCAGTTTTCAAAGGAAGTGAAAAAATATGAAAAGGATGGTACTGGTGCAAAAGAACATCTGCATATATTCTGTTTTATGAGGGAAATATAAATTTGAAAAATAAAGATATGCAAACTAAAGCCAACCACAGGAAACTTTATATGTTGAATCATTGACCTAAGAACTATAGCCATGACATTTGGGGTGTGTCTATAGCAAAATTTATATTCAAAAAATAAAGAATAAGGATATAAAAAATGGTTTAGTTATCTATTCAAATACAAAGGTAATACAGATTGTATAGAGGTGACATAGTAATTGTATTTTGAACGCTGCTGTTTTTTTCAGCTCTATAGCCAAGGGACTATAAGCAGGAAATCAAATTTAAATTCAAAAAACATAAAATGTGTAGGACATGAGACTTTCATATTTTACAATAATTGTCCCTGTGGAAAGAAAGAGAAACCTGACCTACTTCGAAAGAAGGTTATTATATGCATTTTGCTTATCCAAGGAACATAATTTGACAGATAAGTAGACTATAAAGTTATACAGGGGAACAAGATAGTCATGCCAGCTATTAGGCCAAATATTGCATTCTTCTGTAGGAATAACGCTCATCAAAAGCATTGGGGGTTAGACATGTGGAAAGAGTATAGGATTAAGCTCCACTAGTAGTAGTTACTTAACTCCCTAAAGCTAAAACCAACACAAAGGGATTTCAGTCGTGGACTTTGGCACTGTCTGTGGAAGCTTTAAGAGTCCACTAACTCAGTCTGCCTTGGAAGGTTATTGTCCCAAGAAAAAGAACCCACCAGAAGTTGTCATACATTTTCTTACCGAACATGTTTAAATGTAAATTATTTTCAGCCAGATGGTGTTGCCTTCATTCACACATGCTAGCACCTTAGGAATGATCCAGTAGAGGAATCCAGAACCCTGTGTTATGTGCCCAGGCTTCCTGTATAGTCCCTGGGGAGATCTGGGAACCTCAGCATAAGACTGCAAGCAGCAGCACATTGAGCAGGGACCTGCCTTAAGTCAACATCCTCAAAATGTAAGTGCCTAGAGCTGGCATGTAGGAAACTTAGGAGAGGAGTATGTCTTATGTCCTTTGTCCAAATGTCTCATCACTGCAATCCAGCACCACTCAAGATCTGCAGTCCAGAACCCTCTCGCGAAGATAGGCTCCTGCACCCTTGATTTCAAATAACTGTGCAGGTCCGACATTTCTTCTAAGACACAACTGGATGGGATGTCACTGCTATTAGAGCACTCACCTAGGTCTTCTGTCTGACCCAAAGATTCATGAATTCCTGGCAGACCTGTGGCACAGCTTCAGCGGTTACTCAGCCTAGCTAGTCTGATGCTTAAGGCACTCTCCAGGGAAATGAGAGATGGGGATTTGAATTCCTTCAGGGACAGAATGGAATTAAACCAAGGCTTCCCACTTCCCTTCTAATAACAAGGTTATTATATAAAAGGGTTAGGGGGTTTGCAGTGTCATCACTAGTGGCCCTTTTCTAAAAGAAAGCAGCAGCAGTCACTGTGTTTTATATCAAGGCAGATCTTCCAGGTATGCATTAGGATTGTTCTGAGAAAGCCCTCTGAATTAAATCCCTTAAGGGATGTGGGCAAAATACGACCTAGTTTCTGATTCCTAATTAGTTTTCAAAGTGAGTTAGGTGCTGAGCTTCTCAGCACTGTCAAAACTGAAGCACGTCTGTTCACATGTAGAAGTAGCAGTTGCAGGTGCCTGGGGAATGTTAAAATCATAAATTCAGGAGCCTTGGGGCATCTTCAGGATTAGGTGGGTGTTGAAGAGTGTTTTAGGAACTCCGCTAATAGGTCTATTGACTTTGTTTGATTTTGCACGGGGTAAGGTACTATCCAGTGATTCTCCTTGATTTCACTGAGCCAAAATTGAACCCTGTGTGAGTAAAGGTATGACAAGCTCTTAATTCCAAATAAACGTAATGCTATTTAAATGTTTAAAGTTCCTGAGGAATTAGGTAATCTTATATGCTTTGATATTACAATACAGTATCAGTAGGTGATTGAATGAAGAATTAGACAGGTGCCAAACAAAATCTATTTAATTGATAAGTCCCATAAATTAAGGGGTCAATCTTATATTTCTTGTGCATTCCAAGCTCCATTTATTTGGTAATAGGAAATTCAGGTGCATAAGGATTGTTGCTTCTGCTGCTGCCCCCAGGCCCCACATGAACTGCAACAGGCCCCAGCTTGGCAGAGGATGATAACTTTCTGGGAGGGGGAACCTGGAGCAGAGAAAGGGCTGGGCCACTGGGCAGACACACAACAGGGCCAAACAAGCTGGAAAGGAAAGGCCTTACCCAGCCTGTGGGCTTTCAAAGGGACTGAAAAGCACCACTGAAGTGTCCCCTTTGGCATTGCCCTTTGGTGGGGACAGAGATGAGTGAAAGAGATGTTTTGATTGAACACATATATTACTTTGTAGGAAAGGGGATAGTGAGTGAGTTTTGGGGACAGCCACAACCCTCCCTGGCAGGGTATGGCTATGGAGGGACAGGAAAGAATGGGAGACTCCCCTGCATGTAAGAGTGGGTGGGAATATTAGATATAGTTTCATACTTTCATAGTGCCTCGGGTCGGAAGGGACCTAAACAGATCATCAGGTCCGACCCCCTGCCCCAGGCAGGAATGGGTGCCGTGGTCATATCACCCCAGCCAAATATCTGTCCGGCCTCCTCTTGAAGACCCTCAAGGTAGGAGGGAGTACCACCTCACTTGAGAGCCCATTCCAGAGCCTGGCAACCCTAACTGTAAAGTAATACCTCCAGAAATATGGGGCTTGTTTCCTTATACAAAGATATTAAATGTGGGTTGGGAAGCAAAGTTAAATTTGGGAGGTGCTCCCCTTGGGCAAGGGAGTAAGAAAGGGTTCAAAGGGTGGGGTGGATTGCTTCTGAATTTGGGGGCTGCACATAATGCAGTAGCAACAAGCCACAGGTCATGCAGGTAGTTTATCCTGCTCAAAATCAGAGAGAGATTTTTTTTACATCTTCCGGGTTTGATTTGTAAAACTTAATAGAGATCTCTCCAAATCTGTGCTGTCTTTAGAATAGATGATATGTTAGCAGGTCCAGCAGAATGACTGACCCTTGGAGTAGATATCTCTTAGCACAAATGGCATTATAAGATAAACCTTGAGCTTTAGTTAATTTTTAACCCCCAATTAGTTTGTTTGCTTGTTTTACAAAGATTTTTGGTGATATTGTATCAATACTTCACTCTAGTATCATTAGCAGACAGTATAGTGAATATCTGAACTCTGAGAATCAAATTAAATGAAATTACTGTCTTCTCCTCTTCTAAACTTTCTGGACTTGTATGTTTTCCATTCCATCTTATCGATGCCTAATTCTGTAAATATACCATAAAAGGCTGTAAAAAAGAAAAATAGAAATGTCATTCCTAGTCCTTATTGTTTTATTCTCTGAGATGTGTATAATTCTCCTTTATGTGGAACCTGGAATAAGAAGCATTTTACACTGAGCTCTTTTATTTCTGTTATTTGTAGATAGCTATAGGTTATGTGGCAAAAAGGTAAAAGATACCTGTGTGGTCATGCCAGAGACTCTATAAGTCTCTGGCATGACCACACAGTGTTACATTCCCTTCTGGGCACCACGTTACCAGAAGGATATTGGCAAATTGGAGGGAGTTCAGGGAAAAGCAACAAAATGCTCAGATTTACAATGAAAGATTAAGAGAGCCGAGTATGTATAGTTTGGCTCAGTTACAAGTAAATGGGGACATAAATTCACAAATGTCTGAAAGGTGTTAACACTAGTAATGGAGAGGAATTATTTAGGATGTTATATTGAGTTATAATTAAAAGTAATGAGAGGAAATTAAGTAAAGAAACATTTTGGCTGAATATTTGTTAACCTTTCTGATAGTGAGACTCATTAGACAGTTGAATAGACTCTTAATGGAAGTGGCAGAAGTCTTATTCATTAGAACTTTTAAAACTAGACAGCATAAAACACAAGAAAATGTACTGAAGGGAATAGTTCTGCGCTGGAAAGGAGACAGTCTGAATGATCTATTTGATTTTGTCTACCTATAAATTCTGTGGTTCTAAAAGTAGATAGCTTCGTGGCAGCTGTGAATTTTAGAGATGCTATGTACGAGCAAAAACAAGCTCTGAAGTTCTTGAGGATTCTAAGAACCCTGATAAATAGCATATGCTGAAAACCAGAAATAATAAGAAAAAAGAACAACGGTAAAAAAGGACAGAAAATCCAAGACGCAGTCTCCTGCCTGTGAATTTCTCCTCCTCTCCTACACAACCATTCAGAGCCTGATCCTGCATTCTGTATGCGCTCCAAATTCCCACTGACTTCCCTGATTAAATCCGATCTTAATAGTCACTGACCAGACAAGGTGGCCACTTTTCTTGTTCTCCAGCTCTTTAAATCTGACCCAGAGATCCTCTGTTGCTGCCCTTAGACCACAAAATGAAAATAGATTTATGTAACCCAGTCATGAGAATAAATTGCTTCACAATTTGGTAAGTTTCAAGACTGAATACTTGGCATATGGATACATTTTCATTTCCAGAGCTGAGAAACTGATAGTCCTGACAAATATTCCTGAACAACTCTTAATCATGACCAGGACTGGATTAACCCTTTAGTGGGCCCTAAACAAACAGTCATGGGCCCCTGCTTAATACTGTATATTTATATTACTTTCTTGACTCAATAATTATAATATGTAAAATAAGCACAGCTGGGCCCCTTCTTCACTTAGGGCCCTAGGCATGTGCCTAGTTTGCCTATGCGTTAATCCAGCCCTGAGCATGATCTGTCTCTGCTGACCTTCAACAGCTTCCTGTTCTAGGCCTTGGCATCTCTGCATCACAATCTTGCGAAATTGTTTCAGAAGTGAATAATCTCTTAGTTGGAGCTACTGTAGCTTAAAAAACTTACATAACTCCTCACCCAAGTCAAGCATTAATTCAGCTCCCCTCGGTTAACCCACTATGTCACCTGGTTCCTTATCTTCTGATAAAAAGCAAATAGCTCCTGGCCTGTTCCAGTCATGGCAGAAAATTTAAAGCTTGAGTTTTCTGCAGCCTCAGAGGAATACCAGAAAACAGCCAAAGAATTGCTCTAGAATTAGCTTGCAGTGTTTTATGTGCAAGGCCATAGGTTTTTCTGTACATATTTCCATAAAAATTCAATGTTAAAAAATATCAAACAAATGGAGATTTCAGTAAGGCAGGAGGGGCACTGTAAAAGAAGGCATGATTTTAAGAAAATAAGGAGAACTTGCTGAGAAACTGTCAATGGCAATGACCTATCACATGACAGAGCTATATTATGAGCAAAACGACCTCGTAAGTAAATGATGCCAAATGAGAACAAATTGTAAAATCAACCTTGGGTTTCAAACATGCCTTTTAATTTTGTAGGTAGTCAAAGACAAGCTCTTGTTCTCTTCTGAAACCTCAACAGCTTTTTAAAATGTTTATATTATGTTTTCTCTTCTTTGCCGTATTGTTTTGTGTTTTCAAACTGATATCCTTCACTATAATTAATTCAAAAGGATTAAATGACAGGAAAATGCCATCAGTCCAGTACCTTTCCACAAACACCAAATTCCCTATAGATAAAAAATATGTTTAAAAGTGGTTGGCACAAATATTGGTAACTAGACACTAGGGTGTGATCATAAAAATGATCTATTTACACAAGTATGGAGTCTGGATTGATAATTGACTGATATTCATTCAGATGTTTAAACATTGGCAGGCTCAAAATATAGCCTATCCTTTTATTTCTTTCCTCATTGCAAATTCTTATATATATTTATGTTTCTTTAAATAAATGCTCTAAAGCTTCTTTTTCTAAACTCCTGCTCTAGTAACATTCATAACCAAACCTGGAATAGCAAATCCATAGGTATAGATGGAATAAAATCTTTGTACTATATTCAGTATATACATAGATCTGTCATCTTTTGAAAGTTTTGGTGTTTGTCAAATGCAGATCACTGAACACATATAAATCTTAAATACTACTGCAATTAGTCTGTAATGATGCAGCATGTTTAAGCTGTGTGCTGTAGCTTTAATCATGTTTGTCATGTGGTATAATACAGTGTGGATGATTTTGGACTATCAGCTTGATGGGATATTTTATTGTGCTTCAGGGACAAAAATATAGAAAACATGACTTAAAAATGTCAAAACATTAACAAATACAGGGAGGACTATGCATATCATGACTGCTACAATGAGTAACATATCAATAAAGCACGCTGAAGGGCACAGGATCATGCCTAAAGGGCTAAACCATGCCAGAAACATATAGTTTGTAAATTAGTTGTGTATTCATTAATAACTTCACAGCAAACCTTGACAATTCCCTACCCAAAATAGTGGCATTGACCACATCAGCAAAGAGTCATGGGCTAGGGAGAGGCATTACACATAAACTGGTTTAAGTGATCAGAAACTTGTTTAACCTGTAACAGAACAGATGTTCAGTGCACATAAACCAGTTTGAAAATGGCTGAAACGGGTTTGAGATAAACCTGGTTGAATGTAGTATCAGACTTAACTGATTTGGGTCAAACGGGTTTCTACAATGTCTGTCCCAGACCCCTTCCTGGTTTAAGTTAAACCAGACTCCCCCAGCATCCTGGCATGCTCTCTGGGCTGGGCTCCCTGCCCCACAGGAGAGCTGGCCCATTCCTTCTGCTCCCTGGCTGGAGCTCCCACAGAGACTGCAGGCATCTGTCTAACTTCCCCCTGCTCCCCCCACCTTACCTTACCACTCCCTCCCCTCTGCTTTACACAGACACCTCTCAGCATTAGCTAGCAGACCACATGCTGGCTACAGTTTGTGCCATGGGAGACTGGAGAAAGGCAGACAGGACTGTGTCTGATTAGGGCTTTTTGGAGCTAATCAACAGGTAGCTGGTAATGTCCCTCCATTCCTTCCTTGGAAAAAGTGGAAAAGCTTGAACTAATGGAGAGAAGCTTTTGTTTTCTTTGTTTTCTTAATGGGCTGAAAAAAACTTAATTAGGGGTGATAAACACTGGGTTATCAACTGCCTGCTGGGCTGCTCAGAAGGTGGGGGGAACCCCTCCCTAATCAGAGCTTCCTGCCAGGGCCTGGCTACATCCCCTCAGCTCAGCATTCTGGAAGGAAGGGAGGGCTGCTCTAGCGCCCCCTGGATTTTAGTCTGAGCCCCTGCAGGCATGTGCCTGCATTTCTGGGATGTCTGTTTGGTTACAAACTGGTTTAGCTTAGCCAGGTTAAACTAACCTGCAAAGATTGAATCAATTCAGGCTCAGGCTTTTTGAATGTCTGTCCCTAGGCGATTTAAGGTGACTAGAGCTGATGCAATGTCTTATGGGAAAACAAAGGATTTGCCCAGCTTCTGAAGATGCTAAAGCTCTCCTATTGGCTTCTCTTCAGGAATATATAACTCACCAAATATTTTACCAGATGTCTGGTCTGTCTGCTACTTGTAAAGCTGCTGAAAACCAGACTTTCATCTTGCTTATGATGAGTATATGGACCCAACACAATACTGCTCAATCAGTCCTGGGCCACGTGACAACTTAGCGGACTGATGAGGCATTTAATAGATCAGCTGTTATGTACTGTGTGGCTTCTGATGATAAACAACCAGGTATCCATATTTCCATTGCTTGAATATGCCATAAAATTGGCAAACTGACAAAGATCACATCCATGTAACGTTATGAAATAATGGAGTAAACATTAGAAGAGCTTTTATGATCATAAAGTATATACTGTGATCTGTTTTGCATACACCTTGTTGCTGTAATGTGTGTACAAATGTCCATGAACAAACTGGCCATTATGACCTGGAAAACAAATGCAGTTTTAAAGATTCTGCATCTTATAGAAGGAAATTGGCCTTCTCCAAAACTATTTCAAACAAAATGTGGTTGGGAAATAGAATCTGTCCTTTGGCACTGCTTCCTGAACCATCATTAGCAGACTCTGGAAGTATTTCACTCTAAAGAGCTGTTTCACTTGGACTGTTTTAACTCTGAGGGGTCACTTCCTAGCTGACTCCTTCAGTGAAATCTCTTAAGCAGATCAGCAGAAGTGGAGCTACTCAAGGATTAAATATGACCCATGATAGCTATCCACGAGTAGATCAGGCAGGGAAGGAGAATAAACAGCAGCACTTCACATTGATAATTTTGTGTGCATCAACTACTTTGTGAGGCATATTCCCCTTTGGTGTGAGCAAACTGCCAAGTGGAAACCTGCACAGAAGGTAGTGATGGATAGCTCCCTATCTACTCACATCTTGCCCCACCATTCAGAGGGGATTTGGTACAGCCACCTTCGGCAACGATGAAGCTTCTGAGGAAGCTGCTCTTGCGAGAGAGAGGGGGGGAATCCAAGGAATAATTCAGAGGTGCTGGAAGTCTGTGTTGTTTCTGCTCCTTGATATTGTCTGAGCTCTTGGACTATCTATGAGAGCTTCTCCTGTTCCACATGGGAGCATTGAGAGAAAAACACCACAAGAGGAAACTCAGAGGGCTCTTATACACATACAGAGAGAATGCTCTGACGCACTGTAATTATAGCATGTCGGACCAGGCTCAATTAATTGAGTCTGCTGGAGCGTGGTAATTACTGCACTCCAAAAGGCACCAGCATCACGTGTATCAGCATCCCCCTGCTGAAAAATGGCAGCTTGATCAATAAGTTTTAGTTCAATGTGCCCCACTGCTATTTTTCAGGGATGCTGATAGATGTGATGCTCTGGGGACTTTTAATTAGTGTAGCTTCAGAGCTGAGCTAATCAAAGCGCCCCTGCCTCCCAGAGCACGTCTACAAATGCCCAGAGTTTCTCATTCTCTGCACAGGCAACATATGTCTTATTAAAATTCATCCCTGTGCTAGTAAGGAAATAGATTTGGATTTCCTGTTTACAGGAACTTTTTTACCCATTATGAAAATGTCCTTTTAATTAATATAAACCATTTACAGTTCTTAAAAACATTGGGTCTCTGCTTTTACTTTCGATCAGCATACTCTTTTCTACATTTAGGAAACTTTTTCCAAAATAAAAATTTAAAACTCAAGATAATTTCTAACCCACATCCTTAACTGTGCTGTCAGGACTATTTCCAGCATAATTCTTTAAATCATCATAAAGTAGTATTTCAGAAAACATTGTTGATTCTTTGATCAGTAATGGTTTTACCTGCATGTATAAAGGAAAGTGTAAATCAAATGTTTCTGTTTGTAGTGGATACTGAATGCTGTATAGTTAAAGAGGCAGACAAGGTTCTTTGGGTAGATGTGATATCTTTTATTAGACCAACTAAATGGTTGGAAAAAATGTTCTTTGCAAGCTTTTGGGCACAAACACTCTTCTTCAGGCATTGAGAAAGTCTGCTAGTGAATTGTGTGCTCTCCTGGGTAGAACAAAAGCCAATATGCAAAATTCAGGTCTGTGAAAATGCACATTATAAAAATTGGATGCAATTGTGAAAAACTGGATTTATGACACGTTATAACTGGCCTGCCATCTGATAAACCCAGGTAACCTGTCTGCATTTTACCAGCTACATTCTTCTATCACCAGTTCAACTTCTCCCTTCCCCCTCACTTGCCTCATACCTATTGTCTCCTATCCTTCTGATCCTCACTGCCACACATTTGCATTTTCACAGACCTGCATTTTTAGTTGGTCTAGTAAAAGATAAGGTTCTTTGGGTAGCTGTGTTGTCTACCTATGTCCTTGTACCTACACAACTACAACCAACAACCCTAAAGTGTTGTTCAAAAAGGATTTTTTTCCCAGCTGGAGAAGTTAAATTAGGAGTAGGTTTTTTCCCTTTTTTTTAATGAAGCATCAGGTGTTAGCCATAGACAGGATACCTTATTAGATACCCCATAGGATATCTGCTATATCCTATGCTACTATTCTAGATATTAAATTAATGCAAACCAGAGTGTGTATGTTTGCAAGACCCACTATGAATCTACCATTTGTTCAGTCACCCTGAATGCTCAGTTGCTCCTGTCTGCATATTGTAGACATTGTTATTACAGAAAGTCAGGCAAGGACTGACATGATGGGAATGAGAGAGGCTACTAATTCTTTATGCTCATTAAAATTATTTTAATTTAATATAGATTATTTTCTTTGTATTTTACATATAGGACAAAGTCATAATTCACTTTTATCATTTATGTTCAGCTCTAGGTAAAATCAATTTTTGTCTGTGCCTGAAAATATTGTCAAACTCCATATTCAGAATGGTCATGCCTTGCCCTAGAGATAATGGTGACTCAGTAGGATATTTCCACAAGTGTTATAAAGATCTATATTGAGAATAACATAATCTGGACAATATAATGATTTGAGGATAGAACAATTGCTAGCAATTTAGTTCCCTGCCCTGGGTTTGGAATCACAGATTTAGTAAGTGGCAAGTTTCTGTATCCAAGCTGACTGATAAAGAGGTCATCCTCAGGAACAGATGATCCCCTGGACAAAAGAGAAAATAAAAGAGTATGTTTGAACTGCTAGGTATCATTTTAGCCAGAATATCCCTTGATGGGTTGTTACCAGTGCTTGCATAATCTTCAGTAATTTTGCTTTTCATTGCTACTTATTCTTTCATCATTTTTGCAGCACAGAAAAACTACCAGTAACATAATGTTGGGAATGTGTTTAAAGATTTCTTTTAAAGTAGCACTAAAATTCTGCTTCCAGAACTCCTGTCTTTTCTACAGAAAGTAAATGTTTGCCTGACTAAGCCAGAGAATGGAAAAAATAATTTGCTCAGCTTTTCTCTCCCTAATTGGCATATATAGGAATTACGTATTGAGATTTTCTGGGAAGCTAACATAATTTAACCAGACAGACAAAACAGTTCGCAAGACCACGAAGCCTTAAAGCACATAAATGGCAGAGGTGAAACTCAAAGGAGGAAAAAGAGTCATACCATTGCCTTTATTTTAATTTATAAAGTTCTTACATAGTTTCTCATAATTTTTGCTTCTTACAGTGGAGGAGTAATCATAATATATATAGATATAGCAAGGTATAGTGTGGGCACATGTTCTGTAAGCTTTTCTGTAACTGTCAACACATCTCAGAGCCAATAGGGCAAGCAACCAGTTTGTGCACCCTGGGCAGCTCTTACACAAAAGTAAAACAACATAAAACAAACTATTGGATTATTGTTGTTATCTATAATGATGAAGGTGGTGATAATAAGAATAACAAATCAAAATAATAATAATAATGATGATGTTGGAACACCCTTTTTCCAGTTATGGCCTATATGGAGACCTGAAATTAATAGC